CCAAGTAAATGGCAGAACACAGGCTCAAATTGGGTTTTTGTATTCGAATTTTATAAACACTTCAGGATTTTTCCTGACCCTTGACCTTTTGCCATTCTTCTTTTCTTAAGATTTTATTTTAAGATTTTATTTATTTTTTTAGAGAGAGGGAAAGGGAAGGAGAAAAAGAGGGAGAGAAATATTGATGTGGGAGAGAAACATCAACTGGCTGCTTCTTGCACACCCCCAACCAGGGACTGGCCCACAACCCAGGCATGTGCCCTGGCGAGGAATCAACCAGCAACCCTTTGCTTTGGGGGACAGTGCCCCACCAACTGAACCACACCAGCCAGGGCACCTTTTGCCTATCTTAAAGTGAAGATCTTATATCCTGGAGGCTTGGTTAGAAACAACCTCAGGGTCATCTCATCCAACTTCTTTCCCTGTATGTCTCCTACTCTTAGCAACACCTCCAGCAGAATAGTCTAGTAGTTAAACATGTGGATTTTAAAGTTAGTTTGCCTTGATTCACATCTGGCTCTGCCCTTACTAGCTTTGAGACCTTTGGCAGGTTACTTAGTCTGTTTCATGGCACGGTTTCTTTATCTGTAAAATGAGAATAATAATTGTACTTAACCAGATAATCTACCCCAAAGGGTTATTGTGAAAATTAAATTATTTTTAAATATAAAGTGCTTAGAAATGCCTGATACAAAGTAAACGCTCAATGAATGTTAGCCTTCATTATAATCATCATCATGTTCTTCAAATAAGCCTCTATTTGAAAGCTTCCAAGGATACTAGGAAGTGCACTCACCTCTACCCTCTCCCCCGCTCCACTGCCCCAAGGCAGCCTGTGGACATACTGGCCAGAAGCATTCTGGTTATCGTGTGCTTTGGAGTCAGGCAGCCTTAAGTTTGAAACTTTATCCTTTCCGAAGCCTGGGGTGAGATAAGCCATGGTATCTTCTACTGTAAAGTGGCAATAATAACATATACTTCATTGTTTTGAGGACTAGGTAAGGTACTGTACATAAAGTACTTAGCCTAGTTCCAGCTACATGGTAGGCACTCAGTACGTGACAGTTGCTGTGATGATGATGATGATGGTGATGATGATGATGAAGAACAAGAAGAAAATAAAGGATAGAAGGAGGAGAAAAGGGGGTAATAGAAAGAAGCAGCAGGAGCTACACCAGCAGCTGCTGCTCTATTTAGTTATTTCTGACCAGCTGAGTTCTGTGTATGTTCTGTGCCTACTGGTCAGTCCTTCAGATATTCAAAGAGGCCTAACACAGCCCCTCCCCACCCCTGTGGCAGCACAACCACCACTTCTCAGCGCCCTCTCTCTGGGGAGACATTTCCCAATCTTCAGCTGTTTCTCAGACAACATGGTTTTTTAGGCTCTTCCCTACCAGGAGCTGCCTCCTGGCTGTTCCACACCTTTCTTGCATGGGGTCCAGAGCACCATGGCTTCACATATGGCCACTATTTTGCCAGAATGAAGCACAGTGCCCTGCATTTTATAGGTTCCCCTCAGTCTCTTTGTCCACATCAGGCAAATGAGAATAAAAACAGAGATCATCCTGTTCGTTTTGAAATTCCTGTCTGAAATGATCTTAAGGGAACAAAATTACTTAGGATCTGGGGCACTAGATGTGCAGCCCCAACACAGCCCTGTGCGCTGGGAAGCAGTGCATTGTGGCACAGCACACTGCAGCTGTGAAAGGGGGTCTCCAGATACTGAGGCATTGCGCTGTCAGGGAAGAGGGAGCACTTCTGCTGGGTGTTGGAGTAGAAATAAGAAAGCAGCCTGGTGCAGACCTGAGCTCCAGGAGGTTTTGGAGAAAGAGCTCTAGTGTTGAGGTTGGACAGACCAGGTCTCCTACCCAAGGCAACATTCCAGCCAGTAATGGTTACCACCCACTGAGTGCTTCCTGCCTGGGGCACTGTGCCAGAGGCTTCACCAACATTATTTTGTTTAACTATCACAACAACCTATGAAGGAGAAACTGTGACTATGCCCATCATACAGGTGAGAAAACTGAGGCTTTCTGGCTGTATAACTTCTTCAAGGTTATACAGGTAGTAAGTGACAGAGATGGGATTTGAATGTAAGTTTGCATCTCTTTTTAACCACTGTGGTGCATAGACAACCCATACTGTCCATGAGGCTGTAAGTAAGTGGCAGCCATTGTGAACCTCAGTTGTGCCATCCCCACTACCCTGCATAGCTGCTCTAGGGATTAAAAGGAATAACATATTTAAAGTGTTTGACATATAATGTTGAAGAAATTTTAGTTTCCCCCTCCTCACATCCCAGCTCTCCAACTTCAAGTGACAAGGAAAATCACTTAACTTTTCCTGGACACAGCTTTCTCATGTAAAACCTGGGTGTGTTTTTTGAACCCTCTAACCTTGCATGTTGACAAATCAGGCAGGGTTCAACTTGGGCCTGCGGCTCTAGCCTCCCAGCTTCTTATGCTTTGTAGCGTGTCTTTCTGCTAGTATGCACAGCTCTGGCACTATTACGATTATGGTTTCTTCCAGCACACATCATATTTACAAACCACAAATAACAAAGTAGAAGATGCCGGAAGAGCCCTGGCATGTTAATTAAGAACAATACTGGAAGCAGCTGGCCAAAAAAATGCCAGTGATTCGGAAGCAGAGGCAGCATAGCTCTGTTTATTGACAGAAGGCCGTGCAGTGTTGTACGTTAATTGGGGAAATGGGTAAACATTTGCCAGCAGCTTGCCCCCCAGTGCATTGGAAGACGGACAGCAGGCTGGGCCCTCCCCACTGCCTTGCCTGCCTATCTTCCTAGAGCCCAAGAGATGCCAGTAGAGCGAGCGGCTTTGCTCTGGGTTCCTTATAAGCAGAGAAGATTCTAAAGGCAGATGTGCCTCCTTAATGACCCCCCTGGGCATACCAGTTTTCCATCTGGATACAGTCAAAGGTAGTGTTCCTCCCTCAGCTCACCAGGCTGCCTGTGACACTTGGCCCTCAGGAACCCCCTCCCAGTCAGCAGAGCCATCTTATTAGGTGTGGCTTGAGTTGAGCAGAGGACCAGACTGCCTACCTCAGGTGCTGCAGTCTGCCCACAGGCCCAGAGCACCTGTATCTGACGGAGCACACTGCCCAGCCTCTCATCACGCATACTTACCGCTGCCCGTTTGTCTGTGTCCATCCCTACAGTTGCTCACACACGCGGCAGCCATCATTGAATACCGGCTCTGTGCCCAACACTGTGCTAATTATATAATTTTTCTCATTTAATCCTCCATCAGTCCTGCAAGATTAATACTAATTCCAAAGCCACAAAGCTAATAGCCAACACAGCTGTGATTTAAACCAGAATCTTTCCGGTTCCAAAACCCATTGTCCTTTCCACTAAACCAGTATTTCTCAGTGTTTTAAAATTCACGATCCCTGCACCATGTTTCCATGCCTGTGGTTCTGTTTTGTTCATTAGGTTCCTCTTATAGGTGAAATCATCTGGTATTTGTCTTTCACCAACTGGCTTATTTATTTCACTTAGCATAATGCTCTCCAGTTCGATCCATGCTGTCACAAAAAGTAGTTCTTTCTTTCTGCTGTGTAGTATTCCATAGTATAAATGTACCACTGTTTTTTGATCCACTCATTTACTGATGGGCACTTAGGCTGTTTCCAGCACTTGGCTATTGGATATAGCACTGGTACAAACATAGAGGTGCATAAATTCTTTTGAATTGGTAATTCAGGATTCTTAGGGTATATTCCCAGCAGCAGAATTGCAGGATCAAAAGGCAGTTCCATTTTTAGTCTTCTGAGGAAATTCCACACTGTTTTCCACAGTGGCTGCATCAGTCTGACTCCTACCAACAATGCACTAGGGTTCCCTTTTCTCCACACCGTTGCCAGCACTTGCTGTTTGTTGGTTTACTGACAATGGCCATTCTGACTGGTGTGAGGTGAGCAGCGGGGAGGGGATAATGGTGAGCAGAAGGGGAAAGGGCTAGTCAAAGAACATGTACGAGTGACCCACAGACATGGACAGCAGTGTGGGGATTGACTGTGGGGGCGGGGCGTGGGATGGGTGGAGGAGGGCAAAGGGGGAAAAATTTGGGACAACTATAATAGAATAACAACAAAAAATGACAATAAACTAAAATAAAATTCACGATCCCTTTTGTTAAACAGGAAATTTTTGTTCCTTTCTCTCACTGTCTGATTCAGAAAACATCCCATCCCTGCCCCAGGCATAGGAGGTCATAAACCTAGTTTAGGACCCCTGCATGACTAGTACATTCCAACTGAGCCAAGATTTTGTCGAGTTTTACTGTCCAAAGTTCACATTATGAATTTTTTTTTAATTTCTAAAATATAATTATGTTATGACATGGACTCATTTCTTTCGAATTAAATATCTACACACACACATGCCCCCAACACAGAGATTGTAATATGCCTCGTTAGGGGGCCCTCCTTGGCAGGGGAGATACTCATCTTTGGACATAGTAGAATGGGCAGTCTACAGTTTATTACAGAAAAGATGAGCCCCCAAGGCTTAGCTCTTATCCCACCAAGCAGAAAAGACCCTCCCCACTGTCAGCAGTTAGCCAAGGAGAGGTTACCAGGAATGCCACTCAGGCATTTAACCAGCATCTTTTCTAAGGGCCGCCCATTCTGCTGGCCAAGCTGAACTGTATAGGAGGCAGGGAACCTCCACCTGCGCAGGAAGAGGTCCAGTCTTCTGAACCTATGCCTTGAGGTCCAATGCTAGTTCTTCCACTAAACTATGAGACTTGACCTCTGATCCCTGGTTTCCTCACTTATAAAATGGGAATAACAACACCTGCCTTACAGGGCTCTTTTGAGAATTGAATAAGATAACAGCTGTTGAAAATGCTCGTGCGAGTGCATAGGACGCTCAAGATCAGGGTGCATGAACAGGATCCTAATGTCATGTGGAGAAAACAGTGCTTGCTCCAGTCTTTTGAATGTGTGCTTTCTTTCTTTCTTTTTTTTTTTTTTAGATAACCCAGCTGGACCCAAATAAATCATTATTGGAGGTAAAGTTGTTCCCTCAAGAAACCCTTTTCCTTGAAGCAAAAGAGTAAACACGGCCCAGTGGTGGACCCCGCCGTCCCTTGACAAGCAGAGGCCCACATCAGGAGAAGGGCTCTTTGCCATCCCACCTACACGCTCGTCTCACAGAGTTCAATGTCACACTTCTGCCTCTTGCAAGATTGCTGGAAAAAAAAGTAATAATAAACATAGCTACTTAAAATGTCCCATCCACGAGTATATGTTCCCAACCCTCATAGAGAATTACAACTCTGCCACCCTCCCTAATGCCTTCACCCCGCCCTCGTTCAGTGACTGGCGCACTGTTAAGTGCCAGTGATCACAGAGTAGAATTTATATGTCTCCAGCACCCATCCTCTCCCCACAGTGTCTAGGATAGTTCCGCCTGTCCCAGGACACCAGGATGCTGTGTACTTGATATGTCTCATTGAGCCAGAGCTCATACACCTCTGCCTTTTTATTTTCATTACTGGATTTCTACTTTGTCACCTACTTTGAAGGTGGGGGGACTCAAATGGACCTTCTGAGCCTGGAGATGAAACGTTATTGTAGAAAAAAAAGCATATCATTTTTGTTGGTACTTTCTGACCTCTTACTAAGATGTAAGGTTGTGTTTGAGGACTGCATTTGACACATATGCAAGATATTTATTTACTGCTGCCACCTTGGGTCTCCAGGTCCCACCTAGGATTTGTTTGCTATTCCACTGCAGCAGGGGAAGCTGTTCACGTACACAGTGTGAATGTTGCGATAGTGTGAGGAGGACCAGCACCAGGACGTCGGTGTCTGGCTGGGCTGCAGGAGGCTGCTGTTTGGTTTGGTTTGGACAGTTAGAACCTCGTGGACACCAGCTGCCCAGCTGCTGGTCCTTCAGTGTACAATGAACGCAGCTCCCTCCTGCTTTTCCTTCCCTCTTTCCTTCACTAATTCGGACCTTGTCACTTGGTGTTACAAGCCCCTTGTCTATCACCAAAATCTTACCAGTCGTCCCTTGGACTCTGGACCCAGCTGTAATAAGGAATTTGTTCCACTTTTTATTCTTTTAGTGTTTTAATATTAGATATTGGACTCCCATCTCAAGTGGAAGGGATCTCATTCAATGGCTGAAAATTCTGATTTCATATGTTTAAAAGAACAAACTTTGGGGCTCAACTCAGATGACATGTGTTGCCTGAATCCACATATATTTTGGGATGATTTAGTATATGGGGATTTTTGTTAATCTATGGATTTGGGGGTTAGGGTTCAGTTCATGGAAACACTGTTTATACCTTCACCAACAATGATTCCTTTTCAGTCTTGGAATGTTTCTTTACATCTGTTTTTGTGTCACCTGTGGTCTCTGTCCTAAGGTTTGGGATCCTGATTTGACATTTTGTACTTGTGCAAAAGAGAATCTTAAGTGCTGGGTATTTTTTCTGGCCTAAGCCAAGGGGTTATCAGAAGACTAACTGAAGCCCAAGATACGCCTGGTCATTCTCCCTCTGCCCAGAAGTGGACATTGGCCAAGAAAATTCCATTTGTGTCTTTTCTCTGTTGCTCCAACCAGGGACGTCCCCTGAACACACTGTTAACAGAGTTGTGTTCCTAACAGACGCGTGCTGCGTCTGCCTAGGTGCAGGCCTTCTCCGGCCCCAGAGGTCTCTCCAGGGAGGCCAAAGGGAAGAGACCCCCTGCGGGGGGTTCAGCCTGAGCACTTCCAGCTCCACTCTACCTTCTAGCCTAGTGGCCCGATGCTACAGATGCATAGAGCACCAGCTCTCCTTTTTCCAGGTAGACCTTGCTCTGTAGCCGCCATGGAGAAGCCACAGCCCTGAACTCAGGCCATACTCAGGAACAGCAGCAAGGGGGTGGGTGGGGGTTGAAGGGGTGGGACTCTGAATTCACTTTCATGTTTAACCTGTTCCATCTGACTTGGGTTTGACGTCATCATACTGTTCCTCCCTAACATCCTCACTTCTGTATTCCAATAATAGAGACTTTACTCTGAAACTGATTTCATAAAAGTTATTAAATGCTACTTGAATGTGTATGGAGTTTACACACCTTTCCTCAGCCCGGTCTTAGAAGGTTCTCCTTGTTCAGGCCCATGAAATCCTTTCCTGTAGCCCCATTGCTGGGAAGGGCCTCAGCTGTAATACTCACTGTTCACTTGTGTCATTCTGGTCTGCTGAGCTCCAGGACAGGAGGCCAAAGCAGTTGTATGCCTTTTCTTACACACACAACATTAAAATGACTAGGAAACATTAAGCGACCTGCTGTCACCACAGGAAAGGCAATGTCCTTTGCAGTTCTCCCCTACCCTTAAATGTCCTTGGGCTTTGCATACCAGCCTCCAGACACAGTCAATGAGTATCTGTGCTTGGTGATTTTTTGTTTTTGTATTTTTTAAGATCTTATTTACTTATTTTTACAGAGAGGATAAGGGAGGGAGAAAAACACTGATTGATTGTGTCTTACACGCCCCTAACCCAGGGACTGGCCTGCAACTCAGGCAGTGCCCTGACTGGGAATCGAACTGGCAACCTTTCGGTTTGCAGAACAACACCCAACCCACTGAGCCACACCAGTCAGGGCTGTGCTCAGTGTCCTTGGTCCTAGCTGTTTATAGTGAAGTTCCAGGGTCCCTCAACATCCCCACCCCCATTCTGATTCACTCCTCTGGGTTTCTTGGAGAATCAGTTGTACATTTGGAACATGAGTTTGGAGATCTAAGGAAGTACTGCTGATTTCTCACCGCCTCTCAGGAGGTGCAGTTTGGGGGTTTCTGGATTGTGATGTTGCCGTGATTGGGCACCACTAGTTCTTTGGGACACACATTTTTCTTCTCTGAATTATAAGCATCCAAAAATTGAGTTGGATGAGAGCATCTTTTATGGAATCTTTCTTTTTTAATATATTATAGTAGACTAGAATTTAGGCTTTTAAAAATTTTACTTGGTGCCCTGGCTGGCATAGCTCAGTGGATTGAGCTCGGGCTGCGAACCAAAGTGTCGCAGGTTCGATTCCCAGTCAGGCCACATACCTGGGTTGCAGGCCACGGCCCCCAGCAACCGCACATTGATGTTTCTCTCTCTCTCTCTTTCTCCATCCCTTCCCTCTGTAAAAATAAATAAATAAATAAAACCTTTTTAAAAAATGTTACTTGGTGACATTAGGGGAAAAAATGCAGTTTCATTAAAATTGCTGCTCCCAAACTAGACCTGCTGACCTGAGTGCTGGTCTGCGGGATGGGTTTTAAAGATGTTGCAGAACTGTGGCAGATTTCCCCCAAAGGAGGGAAGTTGTTCATTTGGATGTGGGAGAGGGTCTTCATCGTCTCCGTGAGCAGCATCACTGATCGACGTACTTCCACCAGCCCCTCATCCATTGGGCCCTGGATCCCAACAATGGGGTGGGATGTGGGATTCTAAGTTCAGCCCAGACATAACTCACATAGCTGCCCCACTTGACGGTCCGTATGACCCTTTCACATGCATTGTCTCCTTTGATTCTTCATAAAATTTTTGGTTGGAGACCACACACACACATTCCAGTTTGAGCCCTGATTCTGCCACTTAATAGCTATGTCTGAACCTCAGTGTCCTGATAGCACTCAGGCAGTACTTGGCAGTGCACCACACCCATCACAGTCTACGCAGCGAGGGATGCAGGGCAGAGGTGATCATTCCATTCTTGCACGTGGGGCTCGGAGGGTAGTGGCTTGCCTAATGTCACACAAGATGGCAGCAGAAGAGTCAGGACTCGAGCCCTGGGTGCTGGTTTTCAGATCCACAGCTCTCCTGTAAAGAACCTCTAAATTTCATCTTTAAGAAATTTTGGAATCCCCAATTGTGCACAAAAAGTTTTGTGGGCTTTTCTAGGAGAGTTTGTATTCATCAGATTCTCTGTGGGCTCTTTTGATGCCAGAAAATTGAGAACCACCATTTACATATGCAACCATCATCACACTGTTTGGGAAGCTGAATCTGTCCATTCTTGTCCTCAAGCCATATTTTTGTCTAAAGGAGAACTGCAACCCCCAAAGAGGGTGGGAGGCAGCAACTAGGATTTCTTGCCTTGAACCTCCCTCTGCATTTAGTATTTCTCTCTTGTCTCAAATAATCTGCTTTGGGAGATGAGATTTGACAACCCCAATTGCTCAGACAGCTCTTCCTCTCTGCTGTATTTTGAAAGTTTGGTCTGAAAGGAAATATCAGTAAAAGACATGCTCTCCAGTCTTCAGCCTACTAATACTCTTTCAAATTTTTTTTTAGAGAGGGGGAAGGGAGGGAGAAAGAGAAGGCAAGAAGCATCAATGTGTGGTTGCCTCCCATGCACCCCTGCTGGGGACGTGGCCCACAACCCAGGTATGAGTCCTGACTGGGAATCGAACCACCAACCCTTTGGTTCTCAGGAGAGCACTCAATCGACTGAGCTACACCAGGCAGGGCCAGTCTGCTAATACTCAATTTGAACCCTGTCTATGAGTTATGGTTCTACATCTTAGAGATCTGATGTGTGGTTTAGAGAATAACTTCTGGAGCCACAGTGCCTGGGGCCAAGCCCCTCTACATGCTTGTGGTGCACCTGCGGGAAGTCACTTCATGCACCTGTGCCTCACCTTTTTAGCTATAAAATGGAGACAACAGCACCTGGCTGATAATGTCGTGAAGATTAAATGAATTAACAGTTAACAGTTGGTTAACATGTAAAGCAGTTTGAACAGCTATTACCTGGTCTGCAAACTGAGGATTAAAAGGAAAGGGTGATGACAGCAATGAGAAGTGGCAGCATATGGGGAAGACACAGAAAACGTGAAAAGCAGTCATGAGATGTCCAGGAGCACTGCTGACTGCTCCAGCACCCTTCTGGGAAGGTCAGGAGTCCTACACGAAGTGCTGCTGTCACTGGGGCCTATAAGGACAAGCCTGGGGCACTGTGGGAAGGAGGAGGGAGGGGGAGGGCTGACTTGCTGAGCAGTTAGGATGTGCCCAGTACTATGCTGGGAGCGTTACATACATTATCTCATAACCCACAATAGCCCTGCCGGTGGGCGATCCTGACCCCATTTGGAGGAAGCAGCAGGTCAAAGAGGTGAAGTGACTTGCCCAAGCCCCCCACTGCTAATAGCAGAGCAGAGTTTGGGGCCCAGGCCTGAGTCCGAAGCTCCTACTGTGTTTATGACAATGCAGTGACACCTTCAAGCAAATACAACATACTTCCA